TAGAATATCTTTTAGCACTCTTTTTAGGTTCAATTTAGTGCTTATGAATTTTTTCATTTGTTCTTTGTCATGGAAATATTTTATCATTTCATTAATTTTGAAGGATAGTTTTGCAGGGTACATCAATCTGGGTTCAAAGTTGTTTTCTTTCAGGACCTGAAATACTTCTCTCCAAGGTCTTCTTGACTGAATTATTTATGTAGAGAAATCTGCCATCATTCTGATGGGCTTCCCTTTATAGGTGATCAGTTTCTTTTCTCTAATAGCTTTTACTATTCTGTTCTTTTGCTGAATTTCTGGGATCTTTATTATTATGTGTCTGGTGTATATTTATTTTGGTTATGGCTAATTGGAGTTCTATATGCCTCACTTATTGTATGTCAGATTCTTTTTGTAGCTTGGGAAAGTTTGTGCTATTACTTCTACAAATATACTCATGTCATTTGTGTTGATTTTCTTTTTCATGGACATCTATTAATCATACATTGCTTTTCTTTGCAGTGTCTTCCAGCTGTTGAATTTTTATTTTCTGGTTCCTTGTTATTGTTAAGAGATCTTTCCTTTTGTGATTGTTAGTTGCAATGCTGTTTTTAAGGTCTGAAAGTCTATCTTCAGCTTTGTTCAAGCAGTTTTGCCAGCTTTGGATAGAATTTATAATTTCTAGAATATGTTTGAATCTGTTTCATTCATTCTAATTCTTTCCTATACTGTTCACTCAAGGATTCCATCATTTTTCTATGCTACTCTATTTTTTATCTACATCTTTTTTAGATGTGCAGAACAATTCTTTCATTATTGTTCTCCTTTCTTTTTTTACCTGAGAGATTATTTCTGATCTCATGTCTTCTATGGCCTGATGGAGTTGTTTATTTAATTCAGTTGCTTTCACTTCAGAAATTTCAAGTGTGTGACTACCAAGCTCTTCTCTGTTGATGTCTCCTAGACTTCTTCTGGGTAAGGTGGATGTCTGAGGTTTCATTTTGCTCCTTCATTTTGTCATTTTTTAAAATCTAGAGGTTCCCTGGGACTCAGCCTCACTCCCATAATGGTGTGGGAGTTGTGATGCAAGGATCCTGAAGCCTACTGGTGCTCGGTGTGGCTCCCATGATGGTGCTGGGTAGTGGAGTGTGGTCATCAAGACTCTCAATTCTGTCCAGGCCTCAGCTTAGCTCCAGTGTGTATGCGAGAATGGTGGGGGTATGGTCACCAAGGCTCCTGCAGCTCTCTGAGGCTCAGCTTGGCTCCCAGGCTGGTGGGGGAAGTCAGGCTTACACTTTTAGTTCATAGTTGACTGATTTCAAGGCAGAAAGACAGGGCAGAAGAGTCTAGTGAAAAAAATGGTTCACATCACTAAAATCAGGAACCAGGATGCTTATAATATTATATTAGATTATCACAGTGACATAGCTTATAGGCTGAGTTGCAAATGTTGATATGTTGGTATCAAAAAATCATTTGGATTCTCCAAATTTAGGTTCTCATGGTACATTTAGGTTCTTTACATTTTGATTCTTACGGCAGTTAAAATGATTTTCTTTTTGCTTTTTCTTTCAATCCAGAGAGACCTTTGCATACTATTTCAGCAAATGCTGTCTGCTAAAGATACGATGACCTATCTCCACCAAGTCACATATCCCTCCCTCTTTCACCATGTCTCTCTTTCTGAAACCCATGTATAAAACACAAAAGGGGGATATGTAAGGGTGTTACCCAGAGATATCTAAGAGAGACAGAAAGAGGAAAGGGACTTTTGGAGCTACATGCCCACAACATCCTGGAATGCATGATTAGAGATTAAAAGATAGCCTAGAGTCCACAAGTCTAAGTAAGAATGAAATGCATTACCATAAGGAATGAATTCTCTGGCCCTCAGCCTCCCACACTCTGACTTATTCTTAGATTGACCCTATGGTCAGTCAGGTAACAGATCATCTTTCCCACACAAAAATACCTGCACTAATATCCTTTGTACTTTATCCTTGCTTCCTGATTCTATCACTAAAGAATTCACAGAAGCTTCAGTTCAGGTCTTTTCTCATGAGAACTTCTTATGCTTTGGGTTTTCAGTTAAGTGAAGTCCCTCTGGGCCTTGTTGGAGTTTAAATTGGACATTATCTCTGAGTACTCTTTCATACTTTATGCTGTGCCATGTTGACATTTTACATGCATAAACTCAGTGAATTCTTTCACTTTTCACATTGTATAGGAGTTTTTGGAGAATGTTCCTTTATTTTTCAATATTACTGACAAGACTCATAGCCATTGCTTTATAGGAGTTCCTTGCATAAAAAACAAACAATTATTTAAGTAATGTTTATACTGTTAATGTCATGGAGTAGGTTTTGAGTTTAGGACTCTTCTGAGTAATAAATATTATTAGTATATAGATGTATGTCTTGTTTTCCTTTTGGTGTTCCCTGGGGGAATTTCTGTTGACTACATTCAAAGAAATTAAATTATTGCAACATAAAATTTTACCTTCCAAGTTTATATAGACAATACCAGTGTGCCAAAATACATTTGCTAATTGCAGCACTCCCACAGATATACACGTTCTTGATTTATCTGTGTTCGTAATGAGCTTGGTCTTTCTTACTATATTCATTTTAGCTTTCTGGATAATGTATGATACTACAAGGTAGTGATTTTAGTTGAATTTTTCTTACGATTAATGTCATTGAACTTATTTTATGGTTCATTACTTACTGAATAACTTACTTTTTGCAACTGCAGCTCAAATAGTTTTCCATTTCATTCTATTGTGTAATCTTCTACAGTCCTTTATGGTAAGCACATGGGTTTCTCTTTATGTGCTTCTTTTCCATCTCCCTTTCTATTCCCATAATCCTCAGCATCTATCCTGTCTGCATCTTTGTATGCTATTATGAGTCTCTTTTGGAAAATAGCTGTTATTTTTAATATAACATGCAATTTCATCCGTTCAGTTAACGCTTTTTAAGAGGTATTGCATTCTCTTAGAACAAATAAATAATTTTTCCTAAAGCTTTTGGTATTTATCTTGTACATTTACACTCAACATCCATTCAAACTTGACTTGGTATAAGTAGTGAGGTTTTTCCTCTTAAAATATAATTTAAGATAAATTTCAGCATGTATTGAAAATGCTGGATTGTTTCCAACATATGGAAATATGTTGGAAATATATAAATATATACATATGTTTTATGTATAAATATATAAAATATATATAAATATAAACAGTGATATGCTGTCACTTCTTATTTCTCTCCCAGGTTACCACTACATACTCACAGGGATGACTTTTCCGTGAAATGTTCTGAAAATTCTCTTCCATTCCTCTAAGTTCTTGAGACCTTCACAAGTCTACAATTTTTACATTTAAATTGATCTGTTACAAGGAGTGAGGTTTTTTCCTTTTCAACTGTAATTTATGGTAAATTTCAGCGTTCACTGAAAGTGTTGGGTTTTGTATTCTGTCTGCTGACACTTGGCATTTTTTCCTCAAAGTTACCATCACTTTAACCTTACTGAAGATTTTGCCCTAAAATGTGCTGAAAATTCTCTTCAATTCCATTAGCTTCTTGAGATCCTCACAAGCCCATAAAATCATTCTGCAACATTATATTGTTGTCTAATCTCTACAATGAGTCATATTTCTCAAAGGAATGATTGTTATACTGATTTAAATGAAAATTTAAAAGGAAATGACAAAATAGCTGCCAATGATTTGGCAGTAGGAATAATCTTCATGTCACAGACTGTCATTGGTGTTGTGGGCAATTTCTTTCTTCTTTGCCATTATACTTTTGTTTTCCACACTGGAAGGAGGTTAAGGTACACAGATGTGATTCTGAAGCACCTTTTTGTAGCCAATGCTTTAGTTCTTCTTTCTAGAGGCATTCCTCACACAGTGGCAGCCTTTGGATTGAAACATTTCTTCAATGATTTTAAGTGTAAATGTCTCTTGTATATTGAGAGAGTGGGCAGGGGTGTATCTATTGGTACCGTGTGCCTCTTGAGTGTTTTCCAAAACATCATCATCAGCCCCATGGACTCCTGTTGGAAAGATGTTAAAGGTAAAGCTCAAAAGTATATCGGGTTCTCCCTTGGCTTCTGCTGGATCCTAAATGTGTTGGGCAGTTTAATTTTCCCTCTGTATGCATGGTATTCATCTGTAAAAGGTTATGACAGAATCATCAAAAAGAAAGTAAATATAGGATACTGTTGTCTTGTTGAGTATGGGGTAGTCATTCCCTCAATCTATATAGCATTAATAGTTTTTCCTGAAGTTTGTTTTTCTCTGCTTATAGTCTGGGCCAGTGGCTCTATGATTTCCATCCTGTACAGACACAAGCAAAGGGTCCAACACATTCATATTGCTAATGCTTCCTTAAGAGCTCCTGAGTCCAAAGCCACACACAGCATCCTTTTCCTGGTGAGCACCTTCATATCATTTTATACTCTCTCCACCATTATTCGAATTTCTGTTACTTTTGCTTATAATCTCAGTTTGTGGTTAGTGAGTGCTTGTGAGCTAATATCTGTATCTCAGTTTGTGGTTAGTGAGTGCTTGTGAGCTAATATCTGTATCTTTTCCAGCTATTAGCCCATTTCTGATCATGAGCCAAGATTCCTCTATATTTAAGCACTGATTTGCCTGCATAAGGAAAACAAAACTGTTCTAATATTTTCAGAAATGTACAAATTGTATATTGTGGCAGTACTTTCTGTTGTTTACTTTTCACTTCTTTTTATGAGTGATACAGAAGTACAAGGGGAGGTTGTGTATCTTTCATGATTCAACTAATGGTTTTCAACTCACTGAAGGCAGGATCTCCATGGGCTTAATCAATGTTAGTCAAGCAGGTTGGCCCCATTGTGGTGCCTCCTTTTTTGTTTATATCCATCTGAATGAAGTGTTGCTTGAGGCTTTTTAAGTAGACAGTATATTCTAGGGATTAATCAAAATATTTTGCTAAATTTTTCATTTATGGAAGCTTTTGCAAAAGTGAACACAATGAAGTGATAAGTAAAAGATAATGTTCAGAGACAATTCTGTTTCCAGTGTCTTGTGGAGAGTTCGATGTACTGATTTTGCCAATTACAGGGTTTTTTTCATGCTTGTTTACACTAATAAAGAACCTTGGATGATAGAGGTAGTGTCAATGTTCAGGACATAAAATAGTGTTATTTAGTTTAAAATGAAGTAAGACACCAACCAAGGAACAGCAATACCAAAGCGGCCAAGAATTATGGAATTCCAGAGAAAATGGATTGGCTCCTTGGGGATTTTGTTATAGAGATGGAAAACCAGGAGATACGCGAAGTTTTCTGCCGAATCTCTGTCTGATGTAGTGATAATGTCCCTCTTCTTAGAATGCCTGAGAAGTCTGCAGATCCTCTAGCTACATCACAAGCATTCCTGAGAATGAAGGAGAAATCCTTGAAAAGTTCAGAGGGGGTGTGGATCATGCATGTGCTACAGTAAATGTGCCATGTCCTGTTACACCATGAATATTGTGTCCTTTTGCTTAGGACAGCTCATTCCTTTCAAATATTTTTTTTATGGTTCATTGTCAAAGCCAGCTTTTTTTCTTTTTGGAACTGAGAATCCAACTTAGGACCTCGTGTTTGCCTGTAGGCACCATGCTACTGAGCTATATCCCCAGCTCTCAAAGCCAGCTTTTAATTTGCCTCTTCCCATTGACTATTCCCCAGATACCATGGCCTCCATGTCTAACTACCTCAATCCCAAGCTGCATTTTTTAGACATGTGATAGTATCCAGATACTGGGTATTCTAGGGAGGACAGGAAAAGCATATGTGTTTTTTAGTTGCCTGTGACCCAATCTGCAGGCTTCAAAGTTCAAGAATAAGAATGTTGTCAGTACTCAAAAAAGTGACCAGAGGCTGAAATCAAGACATCATCATGGGAAGAATGTGGGAATAGAACTTTCCAATGCAGTGGGAGAATTTGTCTGCAGCAGGTAGAGCTGAGGCACAAAAGTTGTGTGCTTCCCTATTTTCCATTTTAATGACAAAATTTATGGGGCATTGAATATTGCAGAGAAAATGCTTTCACCATTCTCTCTGGGACAACAGGCTCTGCAAGAGGAGTGTGAGTGTATGCGTTGTTCTTACTCCATTATCCCTGGAACAACAGGATCTGTGAGAGGAGTGTGAATCCACAATTTGCACTTCCTCCATTATCTCTGGGATAGCAGGCCTATGAAAGGAGTGTGAGTCCCCACTCTGCACTTTCCCATTCTCTCTGGGACAGCATGGTCTGTGAGTGGAGAGTAAATCTGTGCTCTGCAATTTCCCCATTATCTCTGGGATAGTAGGCCCTCCAAAAGGAGCCTGAGTCCACGCTGTGCTTCCTCCATTGTCTCAAGGACAGCAGGGTCTGTGAGAGAAGATAAGGACACATGTCTTTGTTGAGTACACCAACTGGAACCCCAAGACCTGAGATCCAGAACAACAGCCAGGACCCAGGCACATGGGCCCACACATGCCTTTGGAGGGCAGAGTAACTAGTGAGACCAGCAACATGGAAGAGTCTGAAGCAGCAGCAAAGAACAAGCAATTGGACTCCAGAGAGCTCTACCAACAGAAGTCGAGTCTCAGCTCCCACATCCAGAGGCCAAGATCAGCTCCATACCCCAAACATTTCTGGGATTAAACATGGACACTATCACAGAATGGTAAACACCAGAAGTATTTTACTACTTTCATTCTCCTTTGTTTGTCTGATTGGCTGTCCCTTTCCTGTCTGGTTGGATGGCATATTGTTTTGTTCTGTATTCAGTAGTTATTTTTGTATTTGGGGTTTTTTTTTCTTTTTCTTTTTTCTCTCCTCTCTTCCTCTCCTCTCCTTTTCTTTCTTTCTTCCCTTCTTTTCACTTGCATTCTTTCTCCCTTCTTTTTTTCAATGTTTAGGTTTCTTACCCTTTCTTTCCATTCTCTTCTATAGACCCACTTTCTTTCCTCAACTACTTCTGGAATTTAAACTTTCAAGTGAGTAAACATTGTCTCTGCCCTTTCTGACTACTGCTTCACATTCTATTTCATTCTGTTCCTCCTGTGTCCTCCAGTTCCCCAAAACTTGGGTGATCATCCTTTAATCTCCAGCCTTGACTCTACTATACTTGACCTTACCCATCATATTATCCTATTCCCTACCTATCTTAGCCAGCTTGTCCCAGACAGAAGGGTAAAATCACCCTATTAAGGGGGAAAACCACTGCATACAAGTGCACAGTATATGTTTCATTTTGTTATATGATTTCAGAGTTTGCTCCTGTGGTAAGAAGTAACAGGTTAATGGTTACCATAGTTTATCAGTAGTTAAGCTGTACTTTAAACTACTGTTATTACTACCTATACTATTTTAGCCAGGATGTCATACATGTTATAAACAGTTTTTTTCTCCCCTGTATGATAACATTGTGACTGTATGAGGTAATAGTCATCACCAGAGTCGAGTACCAAGGGATTAGGAGCTGCGCCAAATAGTAATCTTTCATTCTTTACAAATTGGGAAGGTAGGGTCTTGGGACAGCTGTAAGAAACCACCTACATCTAGAAGGCATCCCTGAAGAACAGACATCCTCTAGGGAAACCTCAATACTAGCAATAAAACTATGTATCATAAGAAACTGGCAAGTATCAACATAGAAGATAAAAGAGAAAATTACCAAATTCAGAAGCTAAAGGAAACCCCAGATCCCCAGCCCACCCAGGACAAAGAAGATCCCCCAAATTTAAAGAACCAATCCATAAATGGGCATCTGAGATGAATATGTACTTCTCAGATGAAGCAATAAAGATAGCAAATAACTACATGAAAAAATGTTCAACATCATTGGTTATTCAAGAGATGCAAATTAAAACAACCCTGAGATTCCATCTCATCCCAGTAAAAATAGCTATCATAAAGAAATCAATCAATAAAAAGTGCTGGAGGGG